CGGTTGCTGCTTGAAACTGCTTGAAGTTTGCTTCATATTATTTCGTTTCGTTTGGTGGCAAGGCCTATCAGCCTTTTTTCCAGCCTTTAAGTGATTGCTTGGAGTGTTTCTTGCTGTTGCGGAGTTTGTGGATTTTCGCGCAAATGGTCGGCTTCCCTTTGAGTAATTGTATTGAATACTTTCCAGCGCCTTGTTCGCCCCCCTTGCCCCTCTAGACTCCCACCGAAGTTTTCAACCCAGAAATAAGATGAATTTTGATCTTTTCAGTCCATCCCGTTATTCCTTAATAGTATAAATTTAAAACGGGATGGAGTAAGAATCGGCTTAGGGAAAGATGTGGGAAGGTGAAGTTATTGAAGGCTTTCTCAGTCTGCCATCGTTTGATATCGTGTCAATTACAGTACATTGGGAAATTGAATAAAACATAGCACGGAGTATCTGTGCCCGACCATGATTGCATTTCTACGCGTGGTTGCTTTGTAGTCATACGGAACTTTTTTTATTTTGTTGCAAGAAGGTATTCTTTGATTTTTTTGGGGCAGAATTCTTGTGCCCGGCTGTTGTTAGCAACGTTGAAATGGGGGCGGGGATGTTCTACCAGGAAAAAAATCCAGGCTTTGTGGACCAAATTTTGGGTCCGTAGTTTTGTTGAAAAATCGGTGCTGCCAATGCGGGGCGTGTAGTGCAGATTGGGGAAAGAATAGGCTATTGTCGTTGGAGTTGTGCACAAAGGTATCGGTTGTTAGAAGATTTTTTTTTTAAGGTTGAGTGATCTTGCGCCCACGCTGTTGCCTTTGCGAAGTTTCTCATCTTGGCGGCGGCTGCTTTGATGCAAGCGAAAAATGAAAAAAATAGGACACAACGCGCGGACCCAAAATCAAGGCCATCTGGCGGACCCAAAAACGGGTCCGGCCTTCTATTTCTAAACAGCAGGGGTGCGCAATTTGCGGACCCAAAAACGGGCCCGCTGGGACGCGCAGAAAAGAGTTTCGGCGGCAGTGCTGTCTTGGTGTTCTGAGACTTGAAACTGTGATTGTATACTTGGATTTTTGAAGCTGCTATTTCAAGGTTTCATGTTCCACGTACCTGACTCATCTTGCTTATTCCAAGGGTTCAGACAAACAGCGTCACCGACCTAGTGGCTTTGCGTCGAAAAAAAACATGTAGAATGCCAACAGTAGGTCTTTGGCAGTTATCGTCATTGCGTTGCATTGTGTCATACCTGACTTCCATGCATTGTGTCATACCTGACTTCCATGCATTAGTCTTCACCAAAGAAAATGTCGCAGCCAAGGCCCTGAGTGATCAAATTGTTGACCTCCAACCCCCTGGTGTGTCGGCCTTTGGCCGACTGCTTGGGCGAATGGAAGAAGGCAAAGGACAGGCTTACTCCACTGACATTGATGTCCCTTGTAGTGCTCGAAACCGAATGATCTCCCATAAAGAAGTGCTCATTTCTACTGGCGCAGGTTTGTCTGCCACCATGGCTGTGCAGTACGAAGCTTTGTCCCTTAACGGACTGATGTCGTGCCCGTTGGAAACAACAGTCCATGTGCTGCTGAAGCTCTAGAAGAAACTGAGAAAGGAGATCAAAGAACCACAAACTGGTCGAACAGTGATGACTGGATCAGAAGCTTGGTTGGACCAATGGCGATCACAGCAACATCGACATTGAGTGCTGACTAGTAACACACCATCGAGCAGCACAGTGGAGGTTTTGTAGGAAGTGTAGGGACAGAAGATCAAAAAAACCTGTTGGTTGGTTGCGCAGCCTTTGGCGCTCAAGCTGTTTCGGTTGAAACCAAAGACGCTGGGGGTTCTTCACCGGCAGGCGGCTGAAATAGGAAGACGCCCTTCGACATGTCTCGTTCGATCGATCAGACTTCTTCACAGAAAATCTCCAATGACACGGTTCTTATCACAAGAAAACAGTGAAACGTCCCAAAGACCACTTACAATTACAAAATGTTTTTGTGGCCGATATGCTCTGTGGCACGGTCCTTTATACAAAAAGATGCAACAAACACGACTAATTCAGCAGCGACGCAAATGCACAGGGAAACTTTGAAAGCAGCAACTGCTCAAAAGGATTGGGTCAGTTGGCCAAACCATCGCGCAAGCGACGCCGACAGAGCAAACGTACCGAAGCACCGTCAAAAACAACAAAAAAGGGCCTAGGGCCCAACGCAAAACCAACAAAGAGGGCCAACAGACCACAACGGACTACAAAAAAAATTACGAAAGAGCGGAAAACGGTGACTCGACCAAAAAGCCGACTGACGTCCGCAATGAAACGAATTATGGCAGCATTGATCTATGGAAAACATGCCGCATTGGGCAATTCAAGACCAAATTCAACCCAGCCAAAGAAATCGGGCTACACCTCTCAGAAACTCTCGAGCATAGGCATCAGCCACAATACGTTCGTCCGGAAATCGAGAAACAAAAACCAGACTGCATGTCATAGGGGGCAAGGAGCAGGCCACCCAGGTCAAGTTCAACAGGCTTCTGGAGAAGGTTCCGGAGAAGGTTCCAGGAAACCTTGGTGCAAAGCCAAGTCAGGTTGAATGGGTTCCGTAGATGCAGTAGAAGGTTCCGGAGAAGGCCTGGGAGACTTTGGTGCAGAGAAGGTTCTGCAGAAGGCTCCGGGAGGCTTTGGTGCAGAGTTCCGGAGAAGGTTTCGGAGAAGGTCTGGGAGGCTTTGGAGCACGCTGAGGTGTTTCCAGCGCTTGGCTTCGCAGAATGCTGCAAAAAAATTGGTAAAAATAAAACGTTGCGGCTATTGGGGATACCACCGAAACTTATTTTTAATGTTTTCAAACAATTTTTAGTCGTTTCTCTGGAAAATCAACCCGACAACGTCCATATGCCCAAAAACGGGTGGAAATTCATCGATGTTTTGCCCAACATCGCACAAATGAACCCCAAAACTCACATCACCTGATTCAGAACTGATTCCACAACGTTTGTTTCAAACTTTGTTTTAGATTCCTGCCACCTGCCACTCATTTTTTTTTTTCATGGTGGATTGGCTGAATCCATTTGGGAATGACACGTCTCATGCTTGATGTCAACTGAATACAAATTGTTTCGATAAAATTAATGAGTGGAGTGTCATTTTGTACTGGATTTGGTTTGATTTTGTTTCGATTTTGTTCTTTTGACCGTTTTGGTTGAAACTTGAAACCGTGCAGCGCAAAATTTTGAGTAGACTCTGTTGACAATTTTCTGAGCTAGATACCTGTGAAATTGGGACTGCAGTTTGGTTCAGAAAAAAATAAGTTATGCAATCCCAAAGATCCACCAAATTCAGATCCACCAAATTCATGGCGACAAATCACCCTATGGATATTTGTTTTATTTCCCATGCCGTCCGTGATGAGAAAATTGAAGGGAACTCTGCTGTTGGGCGCAGCTTTGGTGCGGACAGCTCAGATGGTTGGAGGGTCTGTTCGGGCATGCTTTAAAATATCCTTCAATCTGAAGTGGCGATGTCATCACACGTTTACAGATAGAGCGCCGGACATTTGCGGCAATCTTGTTTGTTGTCAATTTGTAAGAATTTATCATTATTTTCTGTTGTGAAATAGTGGCTAATCCCTTACAAAAGGCGAACTAGGTCCCCAAAGAAACAAACACATGCAAGTAAATCAAAACATAGGAACGTAAATGTGTTCTCACTTTCCATCCGAAAGCCAAGTGGATTTTCCAAAAACAACCGATAAATTTTCCCAGATACATCAATGTACTTTACCTACTTAAACTTGACATGTAACCACTGAAAAAATGGATTTGGAGTACGATGGTTTGTATTTGGATGTGTATCCGAGTTACAGTATATAGATTGTTTCAAAACCATACTAAAACCAAATTTATTAACAAAAAATAACTGGGGTACAGTAAATTTCCAATTATTGACAATCATCCAAGGTTCATTTATCCCAACTAATGGTTTATGCATCCTTCTTATTTATGGAAAACGGGATTTTCTCCACGATTTCAGGTGCTGAGTTCGTCTCTTTGGGCCCCAGCGTTTGGAGAAGCGAGTTCCCTCGGGGGAGGCGGTGGTTTTTCGGCATGATGGGGATGGGGGTTTCTTCAAATGGGGGGATCGCCAAAATGGATGGTTTACAATGGAAAATTTTATGAAAATAGATGGGGGTATTATAGGAAACCTTTGTATGGTTTAGCATGTAATTCATGTTTTTACGAAACTGGTTTACTGCAATAACGGATCTTAGCCTTCAAAACATCCTAATAAAATGGTTGTTGGCCATACGGGTCAGCAATTGAGACGCAGATTCTGTTCAGTTTTAGTATGGACTATGCAATTTTACTCTAGTTTTGACCCATACTCATATCACCACTAATTATGTATGAGGAGTCTTTTAAACTGGCTTACGATGCTTACGACAATAGCGCATGGTAATTTCCAAACAATCCCAATCAAATGGTGGTGTATCATGATTAAGTTCGTGTGATAATCTCTGAATCAGACACCATTGTCTTTTGGCATTTTATTTTCTCAAGATATGCGTTTGTCCGAACACCGGAGAGGTACTTCCCCTAGCTACTTTTTTTTTTTTTGTGGGAGCAAAGGGGCGATTTAAACATGCTTGGATTTCGGGGCACCCCGAAGAATGGGGACAAGAACGGATGTCGGGATAAATGTGATGCCAAGAATGCAGCAACCTCCGCTAATCGCAAGTGGGGACTATGCAGGCTTTCGTGAAAACCACGGAAACCTACACAGTCTTATTCAACCGAAGAATGCCCTCAAAGGAAAGACTGTTTTTTTTGGGCCCTCAGTTTTGATGATTTTGATTCAGTCTCCCCTCATCAATAAGGAACTTGTATATACTGTAGTTTTTTTGCATCCATCTCAATTAAAGTACACTTCTGCAAACATGGCAATGGTTTGCAGCATCCTTTTGTCGATGATGCCATTAAAACCCCATGGATTCAGGATTTTTCCATGGCTTGCACCTGGAGGTGGTGCCATGGGCACAGTGGCCTTGTGCGTTGCCATGGGCGTCATCTACGGTGGTTCCTGGAAGCAGTCCCAGGCAGATGGAAATTGACGGCCACCCATGGGGAAAATGTGGAGTTCATCCGATTTTCAATAGACATCCAATGGATTTTTCTTGGTCCATCTAGCCTCAAAGGCAATCTTAGCAAACTTTCAAATGCCAATGTTTTTTTTTGGCAAATCTTTGAGCAAGCTGGGGCAGTTTCCAGCAAGCCAGGATTAGCAGAAGGTTGCAGATCTCCTGATGCTTCCTTTTGAGCCTGATGATTTCCCCCTTCCGTGGTTCAAGGGCTCCTTGCACACAGTCAACACAGTCAACAAGCCGTACAAATCTCTTGATTCCACCTGAGTGCATATTCTTTGGGGATGTGATTATCTAAACGCGCATGTAAATAGCCTAAATAGCCTTCTATCCCTTCATGTTCCAATCTAGATGTTAATATATCCCAGTTACAAATTATCGCGGGATGGGATAAAATCCAGTTCGCCCAAATACGCCCTCAGTTGTAAGTATCAACCCCCAAATAGATGCAGAAACGTAAAAAACCAATCTTAAAAAGAAAGTATAAATATTTTTTTTTTAAACATCGATCTTCTTGTTTTGCTTGCTGTAACTACATCCCAGGACATATCCACAGAAACTGGTTTGTGTTATATCACCATTTTTGGACAGCCCCATTTTTAGGCAACCCCGTTTATGATTTACTCTTAGAAGTGAACGCTGGGGTAACAAATTCTTCGCTGATCAACGAATATATTTAGTTAGCCAAGACATGCAATTCTAGTAACCTCCCAAAAAGATAGACAAGTGGAATCCTATATGATATGATTTTTCCTATCTATTTCGGGGTCATCTCTCAAGGTCTCCGCTTTGCCGCAGGCCTTACGCGAGGCGGAGAGCAAGTTAGCTGAGGTCACGACCAGCGGCAAAGGGCCACGCATTGGTGCGCTGGACAGCCTGAGGCCTGACAAATTATGTAGGCCCTCAACACTTGGAATTCATGAACGCAAATCTCATATGGAGGTTTCCATAAATGGTGGTACCCGAATAGCTAGATGGTTTCTAACCTATTAACATGGATGATTTGGAGGTAACCCCATTTCCGGAAACCCCCCTATGATCCCCAACAAAACACAAGGTAATCGTTTTGGTGCAAGTCACTGCTCAATTCTTCAGTCGCTGGGAAAAAAGAATCAAACTTTAGGGGTCCACCAAAACATCAAAATGTGGTGGCTGGTCATTCAAATAGTCATTTTTTATTTTGATTACATCCGGCTTTCACTATATTAATCTATGCATGGGGATTTAACCAGTTTATGAATACCACCAGATATGGGTTATGAATAGCACATATGCTTAGTGATGAAATAGTGGGGTGTACAAGGAAATATAAGGTATATATGGTTGTACTGTCAGGTTCATTGGGGATACTTATAATCCAGAATAGGGATACCTATCAACCAGTATAGTTCAGTATGAAGGCATGATTCGTTGCGTTTGCATTTCAGGCTGCTCAAATTTCGGTTTGTCCGGAAATGGGGTAGCCTCAAATTTGTTCTGTCCTATTAAAGTCGTGTTTTTTTTTTTGGTACCCTCTGGTAAACTAACATAGCTGTAGAAAATACCCCATTTATAGTGGATTTTCCCATTAAAAATGGTGATTTTCTATAGTTATGTTAGTTTACCAGAGGGTAAACTCCTATGATCAGACAGACAAAAATTTCTCCAGTCACTTCAGTCTGCCAGGTTTGTTCTGATTGCTTACATCGCCAGCGGACACTTTATTCACACCGCCACCAAGAACCCTTTCCTCCTGCGCATGATCACGCAGGACCTCTGAGGGATGGTGGCATCCATTTTACGTAGGGTTGCTGGATGGCTTGCTGGGGGTTGCTGGGATGATTTTGCTAGTTATGACTGGGATCATTCTACCGAAAATTCCCTGCGTTTAGAAGCACCAGTAAGATGATGGGGAAACATCATTTTTTGTGCACATTGCCTTAGTGACATCTTTTTGACACCAATACTGTTAGAATTGAAGCGGGACGGGCCTTCTTGCTGACGGCAGTCTGTCAACTTTCGCGGGCCTCGGTAAGACCACTGGTGGCTGGGAAGGGCGGTGATTTGATCTCCGGAAGCTGAGTGACTCATGAAGTTCGACTGCAACGGTGCATTCTTTTCAAATCAGACCAAATGTGCTTGGTTCAATCCTCCGCAAAAATAGGACCTACTTGGAGGTTCATGCCACTTAATAACTGCTTTGTAAATGGGCTTCCACCAGCACGCTATTCACCACTTCCCAGCCCAAAGAGTTTTTTCGAACTTTAGAACCCCTCCAAATACATTAAAGATCTTAGTAAAATCCAATCCCGAAATTTGGGAATTGAACTTAAAATAGATCATAGATCGTTTTTGCAAGGGAAGGGCCTCCTAGACAGTGACTTAGTTCACTTGGCGAACTGTTGGGCTTATGAGGAATGTATATGAATGTATGGTTTTTCACTCCGTATAACTATGATACTCTTGGGGGGCCCGCAGATCAATGTGGTGGTGGGTGCTTTCTTCGTGATCTCCGGCTACGTGGCTGCCTACACCACCACCACGCTGGGGCAGCACCTTGGATGACTTGGACGGCGAATGGGGGATGGGATCCCATTGAAGAGCCAATTTTCATGGATACGAGTGGATGTCAATGGATGTGATATCTATAATAATTCATAAACTTTTATTTGTATATGAGCAAGCATAGATGGGGACATAATGGTGATTTTTTGGGATATACTATATATATACGTATATAATATACCCTCTGGTAAATTAACATAACTATGGAAAATCACAATTTTCAATGGGAAAATCCACTATAAATTGGCATTTTCAATAGCTACGTTAAATTACCAGAGGGTATATATATATAAGAATAGCTGCCGGTAGTCCTATATGAACGGAGGTTCGACTTTCTCCGGGAGGTACTGTGGATGCTTGCGAAATCCTGCACCGAAAGGATGGTTGAAAGCCTAAAGTATTTGACCATTCTTTTCACTGGAATTTGCTTAAGTCTGCATCTCTTTGGTCTATGTTCAACTTTTCTCCGAGGCGGAAAGGCACAGAGAGACTGGACAATGCGTTCCTGGGTGATGCTGAAGAGGGGCACGGGCAGTGTCGACAGTGAAAGGGCTCAGAGTGGAAGGGAAACATGTCATCCCAGGATGTTCGAACAGCTGATGGTCACTTTTCTAATCTATTTGGCTTCGACTTTGTTTACCAAAGGGTGGCTACCAGGCTCAAGGGATGCAGAATCTTCGCACTAAGTCTTGTGATGGTTGAAGGGGGAAGAACAACTGCTGGAAATCCCCGGGGTTGCAATATCACGGTGTTAAAGCCATGATGCAGCGGAAGGAGTTATGTTTTTTTTCTTCAGAAAGGGACCTGGCCTGACAGTCAAAACTGAAATTCCAACAGGTCAATATGTTTGGAAAAAGCGAATTGTTTGCCAAGAATTGGATGACTTGTAGCAAATCTCATTACCTGCTACAGCATTTCCGTCAATTTGACCTGCTGGGCGAATTTCATTTTTTTTTGAACTGCCATGGAATTCCTTTGGGATGTCCCTTTGCTCCGATCCCAGGGTGGAGTTTGTGGTCCCAAGAGTCATGAGTTACTGGACGCTACACATGGTGGTGTTGTTGATCTTTTCGCCAATGCTGCCTGGACACAGATTCCGCTGAGAGCAGGGGTGAGAAGTCTTATCTGGGAAAAAGTTGAAACGGAATATCCTTTGTGCTTGGTAATACCATTAACTCATAACCCAAATATATGGAATTGGGGAACATCACCGTTTTTAAATGTTTCTTTTTTTTTTGGGGATATGACGGTGGAAACGGAACTACACACAATTTGATGGTCCGATGACCTTGGCCGCTGTCGGCACCGAGGTTCCTTTATGTGGATGTGGCATACAGCATCCTGGCCTTGGAAAGGGGCGACCTTTCCTATCATCGGAATGTCGATGCAATGCCCTGATATGGGTATGGATCAATACCTATAGGATACATTTTTAGTGGGATGAACATCCATAAATCCCAGCTATTTTGATGTGAACTACAGGGGTACAAGGTTTTGACCCATCCCCATATGGGGGTAATGTTAGGGGATTTCAATGATCCCAACTGGGAATCAAGGCAGCACTGCATGAACTGTTCCAAGGTGGTTGGCCCACGGCGCTTTGGCACGGCTTCATCTCCACTTTTATGCTTCAGGCGACTGGTGCGTTTCATGATGGTTTTCAAAGATCAACGAGAAATGGAGCTTTCTCATATATATATATATATGTACACAGTATGTATGTATATATATATATAACTATATATTATATAATAATTACATGTATATATATATATATAAATGGATCCAATCATGCAAGTCATTGGTGACTTTTAACGGGAAAACCAATGGTCATAGGGGGTACTCCAGTCTTGAGAAACGCCCTGGAATTTAGACTAGAACATGGTCGTCTAACCCTTGGGTATTTCGCCCTTGCTGTAATAATGCGGTTAGTGAGGGTTGGCACGTGCCGGGTGCTAAGATAGTGATCATGCTGGCGGCTTAGTAGTCGCACAACCGTCCTCGGGTGCGATAGTTTTAGTTTGGGGACATCCTCACCATATACTAGTAGGTACTTAGCAGCTACTGGAATCGTCACTCAAGTAACCACGAGGCATGCGTCTATAACGTATAACGAATCTCAGTATGAATGCAATTGCCTACGTATGTGGCTATGTTGTATAGAAATCCATCTACTCATGCACGAGCCAAAGCACATCCATTGGTCCAAAACCCTTCTGAGAAGACACGCGAACACAAAAGTGAGGAGAACATTGATTTGTTTACCACCATGATTTAAATGGGTTGTAAAGTTCATCCAAACACATGGACACGGTTTCATTCAAATCATCTTGCGGAAGAAACTGCAGTGATACGGCTCTAGGCCAGGTCCTGAAGTTGGACCTGCCACACTTTGGCACTCTGACAGGTACACCAAGGTAAACCATGGTCAAACTAAGACATGGCTTGGTTTGACTGCAATCCACCTGAGTAGCGCCCCCGGAAAATCCTGACGGTGCGAGGCCTGGTTTCCCACCTCTGCCGAGGCGCCGATGGGATTATCTCAAGGCTTGAGATTTCTTCATTCGAATGGGTTTGAAATGGATAATTACCAATTTATATCTATTTCTCATGAAGAATTTATTCTAATGGTAAATATGGCTTACAAAATTACGTCAACCTGCAAAACGTGGGTCCAACAACAGAAAAGACGTTGAACCATTTATTTAGTGGGAAGAAACAAGTGGTCAAGGAAAATCACGAGTCCACACTGATGAACCACAAGGGCGATTTTCAGAGGTCCAATTTCTAGATTTTTTGCAATTGAATCGGAAGATTATCCTGTTGCAGTCTTGATTGGGTCCGCAGGTCCAATACCGGTTTGTAATTATTTCAGGTATATTTTTCAACTGGCGATTTGCGTGGGATATTCACAAGTATCGCAACTCATGTTTTTCAGGCAGCGCCACCAATCAGGTCTGGAATGCCCCGACGTGGTTCCTGTCGGCCTTGACCTTTGCATTCCTTGCCCTTCCCTACTGCTTGCGGGTGCTGGCCACTCAAAAAAAGGAGCAGCTCAGGCCCCTTCGTGGATGTTGTCGCTTGATGTAGCGCCTAGTGTGTAGATCAGTCTTGGATGTAAGGCTCTATAGGGGTCCCCCGAAAATGGACAATGGACCAGTCAAATATGTCATCCCTGTATAGAGTTTGATAATAATCTGACTTTCCTTTTTCTTTTCCCTAGGAACCCTGTGGCAACCCCCAAAGAGATTGAACAGTTGGAAACCTGGCAATTATTGAACAACGTAAACATGTTCTACCTTAGTTCACTGCAGAACCCATTTTTTTCGGACTCCCTATCTACTTGGAAGATGAGTACATTCCGTTACGCAGGCGGACGCTGGTGATCCTGACCCTCGTGAGTTTGGTCCCAAAGGCGACCTTGGTGGCCAGGGTCTATTTACGTGTGCTCAAAATGGCAGAATTTTTGGATCGTTTCAGAGTTTCAGATGAATTTGTTGAGTCCAGGTCACCAGGTCCCAGTATGCCAGTGATCCATCAGTGAAGTGCCCTTTGTTTCCCCAAGACACTGAGAATTCCACTCTTGAGACATCCGGCGCACAGATTGCTTATAGCTCTGACCTACACTCCTGGGGCATCATGGAGGGCATGTTGAATGTGTGGAGCCTCAAAGTTCCATTGGTTCCTGCGAGCTCTGGCTGGTCGTCCAAGATGGAAAAGGTGAACGGGGGGTCAACAAGGTCAACATTCAAGACCATTGGGGGCTTGGTGACTATTTGTAGTATAGTTGTTTATAGATTCCATGAATTCTCACGACAATCCAGTTTATTAATATCGATAATATCGTATGAATCATATGTTTTGTCCCAAAATGCGGTTTTGTATGAACCATCTCGTTGCGTATCAAGTTGACACCAGGCCCTACCGTTGCAATCCTGGCAATGTTTGTGTCATCCCAACATTGAAAAATTGCATGGCTAGACGGCAACCCAAGAACCTATGTGCTCCGAAGTGGCCATCACCAGCTTCCGAAGTTAGAGCTGCTCCGAGGCAAAGACACATCCCAACTATGCTGTTTTCAACTCCTTGCGCTTCAGCCCTTTGGGGGCCTTACTTGAGGTGCCCACCCCCTGCGCACTTGGGGGTGGAAGGGTCCTGGGACCTGAAAAAACGTGCTGTTCTTTGGGTTTCTGAGACATGACACCCCCAGAACATGTTTACTTGGATCGCCACAATTAGCAACTGGATAACTTGTGAATGGTGGCAATCTGCCCAAGTAAATGGGGCCCACGACTGGGGGACTAACAGAAACCATGGTGGTTGATCTCCACCAACACAATTTTTGATCCAGAAGTTGCTATGAACATATGGAGCATATGGATGCATATGGGATATTTATGATAAACCAAGGGATTTTGCGGCTGAGAAAGCAGCTAAAGGGGCTTATGGCTGTTCGGTCTGCAACTTGTCGCTGCGGTTGCCTTGATTCTTTCTCAAGAACAGAGACGTGCGGCAAGACTGCAAACAGTCTGAATTTCTCACTCGCAACAACCCATCATGACATATAGAAGGCTGCCATCATTACTGGGGAGTGATTTCTGCAGCAATTTTTCCAAGTTTCTGCTGCCCATTTCAGCAGCCTTGCAGCGGGATGAAGTCCCTGAATGGTGAAGGTCACAGCAGCTGATAAAACTTCGTAGATTGCCACATGGGGCCGCTGTCGCCACAGGCCGGCATGGGAAGAAAGGATTAGGCGTATGCCGAAAGGGGCGTATGATGCCCCGAAAATGGGTCGCAACATCCCCAATTTGCTTGATGGCAAATGCCATTGTCAACGTGCCCATCTTGGGTAATGCGCCATCTTTTTGTGTACACGTCTAGTGTAGTAAACATACATTGTTTCACCAGTTGTGTTTTGAACACCATTGAAAGTTGGGCTCACTGGCTCAAAAATACTCATTATATAATATATCATTTTTTGTACTTTTATGGAATTTTCCAGCACTCTAGGTTAGGTTTCTGATGTGTAGTGGATATTTATATAGATTATAATTCAAGTCGATGGCTGCTGAAAACCATGTCCCTAATTATTCCAGTAATTCCCATGCGGATTGTTTCAGACCTCTCTGTGGATACTTCCATTGCCCTGATCTTATATATTAAACCCAATAGTGGCTTCCGAAGCCTTTTTCATGCCGCCAAACAGATATAGATTATATATACTGTATCAGAATATCTGTGCACCATTTTCATTCATTATCCATTTATTTTCCGCGTTTTTCGAGGATTTTCGAGGCATTCCTTTAGGGTTTCCCAGGTCAGCACCTGCGTCGCACAGCTGCAATGGGGAAGGGCTGGCCCAAAACCTCGGGTGGTTGGTGTCGAAAGGGAGATCAGATTTTGATAGTGTACAGCGGGTGCCAGAATTATAGAACGGAGCCAGGAGTACAAAAGTACGGTAAAATACCGTACCTTTGTACTCCTCCGGGTTGCGATTCCGCGCGGAGTCGGGAAATTTAATTATAGAACGGGGATCCGTTCTATAATTAAATTTCCCAGTTCTATAATTAAATTACTCCTGGCTCCGATCTATAATTTCTGGCACTGACATGATATTTACTGCATATTTGTACATATATATCATATACAATCTATAAAATGAAGATTTAATGAGTAAATTCAGATACGTTTTTTTTCATACCTTCCGAGGAAAACAGAATTATAGAACAACAGGGTACGGTAAATAACCGTACCTTCGTACTCCTCAACTTCCGTTCTATAATTCTGTTTTCCCCCATTTTTCCCACATTTACTAGGCGATTTTCTTAGATTTCATGGTGATTTTCTGAGATTTCATGGTGATTTTATGGGATTTCATGGTGATTTTCTGAGATTTCATGTTGTTTTTGTGGGATTTCATAGTGATTTTATGGGATTTCATGGTGATTTTATGGGATTTCATGGTGATTTTATGGGATTTCATGGTGATTTTTATGGGATTTCATGGTGATTTTATGGGATTTCACGGTGATTTTCTTAGATTTCATGGTGATTTTGTAGGATTTCTGGGACCCCGGAAGAGGTTCTATAATTCTATAATTAATTATAGAACGGGGCCCGGGAAACATTAATTATAGAACGAAAATGGGAAATGTGAGAAACATGGGGGAACACAGAATTATAGAACAGCAGCGCTCCGACAAGAATTATAGAACGACGAAAAAAGTTAGGAGTAAATTCAGATACGTTTTTTTTCACTTCCGAGGAAAACAGAATTATAGAACAACAGGGTACGGTAAATAACCGTACCTTCGTACTCCTCAACTTCCGTTCTATAATTCCGGCACCCACAGTAATGCTTATCAAACATGGCAGAGATTGGCCAAAGGGCTTGAACTTTTGACATCTTTTGACCTATGTGCCTATGTGAGTACCTGACACTATTCTCAGAAAGTATTTATTATTTGATCAATCATACACAGATGTTAAAATCCAAATGAGGAGACGGACATCTCCTCCTTACCCGACCAAATTCATCATGCCAGACATGACGCAGCGAAGTGTCGCGCGTGTCCCATTTCGGTCTCCCGAAAATTATATAGAGATCCGAAACCATAGAATCTTGAAAGCCAGAAGTCCACCATCAAAGCAGCATACTGTGGCAACCCAATCAATATAAACCATCCGTTTAAATGGTAAAAGCTGGGCCTGAGCATCATGGAAAGATCCAAATGTTGGGACCTTGGGAAGGGTAAATATAACGGTTATCCCCAAACAAAATGGACAATTACTATGGTTACTAACCACTTACTAAGTGGGATGATCCAAAAAAAGTATCTCTGAGAGCTAACTGAAAAAAAAAAATCACCACAAGTAAACCAAGTAGTGGGTAACGTAGTTCATTTGGACAGGAAGAGACACCGAGCGGGTCCCCTTGTGTTGGGTTTCAGCCACCGAGTTCTGCATTCCGTCGCTAGACTTTTCAAGGCAGGTCAGGGAGAAACATGGAGTCAACGACTGTCTTTTGGCATATTGCACCCCCAAAAATAAAGAAAGGCACAGAGCAGGTAGCCTTCCCAATAGACATTTGGTGAAGCCAGAAGCGCAACCATCTGTGTCTTGAAAAAGAGCTCTTTTTATAGCACCAACCACAAACTGCACAACTCACAGCACCGCAAACTCTTAACATCTTGGGCAGAACACAAATTCACCGCGTGAAACCCAGAGCCTTCTGGACTGACGCCACTGTCAAACGCCGAGCGATCGTCGTGGTTTGGCCACTTGGTTGAAAGCATATTCAGCATGGGGGGGCCCTTCTAATCTCATGATTGCTCAGGTAACGGGACCCATTCTAAACTCCACTTGAGATTATCTTAGGTGGGACACGATTCTTGAGAATTCGTATTGGGTGAGCAGTTGGCGACTGGTTTTAGATCTTGCGAAGCGGGAAGTTCTTTGAGATTTGCGGTGTGACAGAAGCATATTCAACTGCTAGTTGTAAGACGGTGCTCAACTATGCAATCCCAACAGTGAGGTTGTTAGCCTGCATTGGAGGATAATCGTGGGACACACCTTGTCATTTATAGCATGATCTTTTAATCTTCCATGAAGACGGCACTCTTGGGTATTCCGTTGCATCAACTTTCGTCCTGTGTCATGTGCACGAAGTGCCACAAAGAGTTGCGCTGTCTGCTCCAAAGCTTCACTAAATTGATCTATTTTGATGAGAAATCTAGATGGCAATCCACAGAGGGTTTTCAACACAGGACCCAACAGATGGGAGAGTCATTTTCATCCGGAAGTAAATCCATGCGCAACTCACTCGATTTCAGGGCTCCAAAGTTTTCCTGTGGCTTAGTCCATTTTTGTAGTATCCACATTATCCACCGTCCCCAGATCCAAAAAGGGACAGCATGAGATGGGGCCCATGGGGTCACATCCCTGACTCAGCGAGGAGCTGGTGATCGAATGTCCAAGAAGGCCGGGCCCGAGACACATGGAATCCCTTTCTTGTTTGCACTTTGCAAGGGGAATTATCCCAAAATTGCTGCACATTGCTTGGTTTGCAAATTGCGAATGATCATAATTTGCTCAGATGGGATGGTACCAGAAGCAATTAGCAAAGAAATTTATATGGAGATTGACCATTTGGTAATCAAACATGGATGGGATTTAGCCCCTTCCTTTTGTAGCGGAAGAATCATCCACATTAACAGTTAGGCCGGACGGTGACGATTCTTCATATTCTGGTTGTCACATAGGATGGGATTAAACCCCTTTTGGATGATGCAATTGGCCCGACCGGAAATGAAGTTCTGACGAGGTATCCTGCATAAGGGCGGCTCTTGTAGGTCTATGTAAGTGGAAGGTCAACCGATGTGGCTAGACAACTCTCTGCTTCCACAAAAGGGTCGCATGAGGAGTTGAATATGTTTCGTACTGGATTTGTTCATTGTGGGATCCGACATACGTTTTTTTTTGGGATGGGAAAATTGATTTTGCCAATAGATACGTGAACATGTCCTGATGCTGTCTCAGTTGTAAATGAATAGTTTCTGAGATGCAGTGAGTGCAGGATTGCCTTTTCGAGGTCCAAAAGCTATGTATAAGTCCCTCGTCTCGAGGCATTGATGTATTGAAGGTGCGGATTTTAGGGATGAAGCCCTATGTTACAAGATAGGACATACAATAGAAATTCCGGTTGCAGAGTTGCCATGACACAATCCGCCAGCCCATTCTCTGTTGGTTTTCAAGCTCAAGCCCAGTGGGTTGCGACGCCGGCGCCCCCGCGATGGCGGCACTTTTGCCCGGCCCGTTTCCGCGGGCGCAGGCGAGGACCGCATGGCTGCTGGCAAGTTTTGCTCTTGATGCTGGGACTGGAGATGGATGTGCCCAACACTGGGCAACCAACTTAAAGTCCATGATTTTGGGGTCTATAATTTTGGTGTACCTGAAGTCACTTTGACTTTGGGAATGAAAGATGGGAAGGGATGCTTGGTCAAATGGCATAACGGCAGCATATTGTCCCCGTCCCCAAGAAGTGAGCCAATCCGAGAATTGGATGAGCTTCGATCCATTTCCACTGGTTGATAGAGCGGGAACTCCCAGTTTTCACAACCAATGGAATCGAGGTAGTTGGTTCGGTTGATGAAAAGGATAGGTGTATATATTTGAGGACTCGTTTCAACTCGATTTGATTTTCGACCATATTGGGCATGATGAGGTTGAAACCAACACCCAAATATGTGCTATGGTCAAAACTTGGGCATCAATCCATGAGTAGGGATTAATGTTCCCATTGCAAGCATTCCCATTATGGTATGGATGAACATATTCCATATACCATGTTTTGATTACGGCACATATGAATACATATGATATTTTCAAACATTTCAACCGTAAACCCCGTATTTTTGCCAACCAATGGAACTGAGGTACAGTTCATCCACCCACTAAGTTTTGTGGGCTACTCTTTCCCGTGGCGTCGAAGAAGCTTCACCGTTCCTGGACGCGCTGAAGCTGACCTGGATCTGGATTTGATGCTGTCGCCAGCGGGGAGTGGTCTTTCTCGTTACAAAGGTAGCTGGCCAAAAGGTGGACTCCTGTGATATTTTAAGATGCCTCAAAACTATAGGCCGATTGGATTTGTACTTGTATTAGCTTGCATCCAGGTGTAAACATACAGACGGTAAGCGCACAACATCAGACCTTTTGTAGTCTTGTCCAATCAGTTCCAATCTAGTCTATTCGAGGCTGATCCAGTTTTTGTCTAGTCTACTCATATTTTGGCTATCTGCATATGTCTGGCTGTGTATATGATGATATGATATAATATGCGTATATATTTATATTGTACATATGTAAGCTACATTTGGTGGTTTCTCACATGCCTTATTTGGTTGTTTTTGATGAATGTTGTAGCCCTCTGATCCGAAAAGATCCTTCTTCGTTCTTGTGGGACAGTTGCCCTGCAGCTGCCGGTCGACATACACATGTATCGCTTTATATATACATATCTGGGTAAATTATAACGACCTCACTGTGACCTCACTGGAATCATGGTTAGTAAGGGAAATCATTCCCCAATGGCCTTAATTCAGGTTGGTGAATTATTATAATTTACCCAGACATATCATATACATCATACATATATATATATATATCATGCCAAGAAACAGAACACAACTTTCAATACTTCGCAGACAAGAATTCTAAACGGAACATAACATTAGTTTCCCAATATCTCCTGGAAAGCTGGATATGTAGTCTCGTCTGTCTATGCTTTGTCTGAATATAGGGTATGCCGAAATCGGGTGGTTTATTAAAATCGTCCAAGCGTTCCCCATTTGTGTGCCCAGGATTGGACCAACTTTGGGTGTATCCAGCTTTGGACAAATATTCACATTCTGGGTAGTATCCCATTAGCGTCTATTATATCCCATTCAATATGTGAGTTGTTTAATGCCTACCTTTTTCAGACAGTGACAAAGCCAAATCTTGGTGGGGGTCCAGTTAGGTTGCTCTATAAACCCATCTAAGTATGAACATATCCACCATAAAGACCTAAGACCCAATTCGTCTGGCTATAACCCAACAGAAACCAAGAACGGTGCGGCCCGAAGGCACTGGATTTGACCCAGAGGCCTGTGGAGAGGCCTGCGAAGCCTTAGCTGAAGCGGTGGCCAAGGGCAACCAGCACCAGGTGTGGTGGTGGCGTTTACAAAGATCGGGGATACCATGGGATACACGAAAGGATGATAGACACTCTTTAGTGAACAGTGAGGGCTCGCTGAAGGGCCTTACGCCTGTTGCTGAAGATGTTGGCTGATGACAATGTCGATTTGAACTGCATTCATTTGCAAGCGGAAGCAAACTTCGTTCGGATATTTGAAGTCTTCAAAATTGAGGCTGTTGGTTTTGGTCTTCTATGACCCTGCTCCAAGACCAAACGCCCCAAATCGGGTAGGTGCACCTCTGTAAGGATTCCCGTAATTTGGGAGACAGCGTCACTATTTGTACTGTACCACCTAATGGAACATCTCCAGTTGGACAGTTACCCTACGATTCCGTAGGGAATAAGGGGGTGCCAGTTGGATGTTCACCCATAGGGGTAATCCAACTCTTGGAGAGTACTTTTTGGTGTGGTAAACCCAAATAAACCATACCATTCATCAACCATTTGAGGATTTACATTACTATATCCCTGTATCTACAGTTACTATAGGTGAATTTGAGGATTTACCATCTTACATGGGTGACAAATCCCATAGTTATGCCCATTAATAAACGCACTCCTGGCCTGCCCCCTCTACCCTCTAGGTCGAAGGTCTGGTGACTGCTCTGAAGCTCATGATGCCTCCAGCCAGTGGTGCTGAACAAGCCCTAGGTGCAGCCTCGATCCATCCATGGGTAGAATTTTTTCTTCAAAAATGGTGAGGTTAATGGGATTTTAACCAAGAAATAGGATAGTCATTGGGATAATTATGAATTGAATAGGATAGACGCAACTATCCATGGGATTTATTGGTTACGATAACGCGTGGGCTTTGACCAATACATATTGGACATTAGTAAGATAATATCGAAATTAATCATGTGGGATTTACCCAATGTCCTAAACCTCCAATTTTGGAGGGTTTGAATCCCAGACATTTCTGGTGAAATCGGGATGGTTTATTGTTGGGTTAAAACGACATTGCCATGTCATTTGTGGTGGATCAACGTCTTCTGTTACGTTCGCTGTTTGAAGCGAGAAAGAACTTCATCAGGCAGGTTTGACTATCACCACGTGGGTAGGGATTACCCTCTGGTAAACTAACATAGCTATTGAAAATGGCCATAGAAATAGTGGATTTTCCCATTCAAAATGGTGGATCTTTCCAGTTCGCTATGTTAGTCATTACCAGAGGGTAACATCCAGAACTGTCAGCTATTTTCATGTCAGAATTTTGATGTCTATTTTGGTACAATTGTTTTGACCATTTTTGACCCATGTCCCATTTCCAATGGCCCAATGGTATGAGTCATGGATACCTCGACGGTCGCAGCGATGGCACCCGCTTCGCCAGGTCCACCCAGGGACAACTTCATCCTGCGCCCCGAGGAGTTGCAGTGGACGGAGCAAGACTTCCTGGGAGGTCGCGTGGCGGACGTGGGAAGTGGACTGGTTGACCAAGGCAGACTATGAGATGGAAGCAATGAATATATCATAGTATATATTTTCTATCTATATCTATCTATATCTATCTATATCTATCTATATCTATCTATATCTATCTATCTCTATCTATCTCTATCTATCTCTATCTATCTCTATCTATCTCTATCTATCTCTATCTATATCTATCTATATCTATCTATAT